CCTTGGACTGATCGCACACTTCTTAGCCTACCTGAAGATGTTATTGCAAGACATCTGGCGATCCGGTGTTAGCTGGGACGAGGGAATAGACGACGATGCGTTCACGAACTGGCTCACTTGGCTAAAAGTCTTGCCAAACGTCGAAAGCGTTCAGATAGCTCGATGCTATTGTTCCGCATACCTAAACAGCGAGGCCGATGAGGTGCAGCTTCACACGTTCGTTGATGCTGGCAAGAGTGGAATGGCAGCTGTATCATTTCTCCGTTTCGTTAAAGATGGAAGAATCCACTGTTCTCTCGTCACCTCTAAAGCTAGAGTAGCACCGTTGAAGCTCACCTCGATCCCTCGGCTGGAGTTGCAAGCAGCGGTGATAGGCACTCGGCTCACTCGTACGGTCGTCGAAACCTTGGTTATGCAGATAACGAAGAAGTTTTACTGGTCGGACTCGAGAGACGTTTTGTGCTGGATCAACTCCGACCATCGGCGGTACACTCAGTTTGTCGGATTCAGAGTTACGGAAATTCTAGAGGCTACGGAAGTACATGAATGGCGATACGTACCAAGCAAACTAAACGTAGCAGATGACGCTACAAAGTGGAACGTGCTTCCCGATCTATCTGCTGACAGTAGGTGGTTCAACGGACCAGATTTTCTCTGGACAACCGAAGACAAATGGCCACAGTCTGCAATCCGGAACGAATCCACAGACGCCGAACTCATAGCAAACCTTTCTACACACCACGTTGTTCCAGAACCGATCATCGCACCGCGGACTACTCCAGCTGGGAACGACTGAAAAAAATAGTCGCGTGGGTACTGCAATTTGCAGCAAACTGTCGATTGAAACTACAAAAACTGCCGACTAAAACGGGACCGCTCGTCGAAAGTGAGCTGTCCGCAGCTGAAGCATACCTGATCCGCATCGCGCAGCAAGACGGCTATCCTGAAGAACTCTCCACCCTGCGGAATATGCCACAAATCGTAGGAGATCTATCACCGCCGCTGCCGAAATCCAGTTCACTGTACAAGCTTACACCGTGGCTGGACGAACGCGGTATATTACGAATGAGAACTCGTATCGCAGCCTGCCAGTACGCCACTGAAGACGCGAAGAAACCCATAATCCTACCTCGAAAGCACCACATCACTACCTTAATAATATCCCACTACCACAATAGATACCACCACCAAAATCACGAAACAGTGATTAACGAACTGCGGCAGAAATATCAAATCGGCCGCTTACGCTCGTGCTTCAAACAAGTACGCAGAAATTGCCAAAGATGCAAGAACGATGGTGCAACACCGAATCCTCCAATCATGGCCGACCTACCTCCTGGTCGCCTAGCTGCATTCTCTCGCCCGTTCACACATACCGGAGTCGATTACTTTGGTCCAATTGAGGTCGTCGTCGGCAGAAGGGTCGAAAAACGCTGGGGGATGCTAGCCACGTGTTTGACCGTTTGGGCTATACACATTGAAGTAGTCCACTCACTGACCACTAGTTCATGCATCATGGCAATCCGGAATTTCGTCGCTCGGCGTGGCCGACCTCGTAAGTTCTACAGCGACCTAGGAACCAACTTTGTCGGAGCGGCGCGTGAAATGAAGAAACTTGAAGAAGTGATCGACCACGATGAGATCATGCGGGAGTTCACCAGTACCGAGACCGAGTGGGTGTTCAATCCCCCGCTGGCACCACACATGGGTGGAAGTTGGGAGCGGCTGATACGAACCGTGAAAAGCAACCTGATGGCCGTCTGCACAACGAGGAAACCGTCCGACGAAGTGCTTCGAAACACTCTCACCGAAATCGAGAACGTGGTAAACTCCAGACCAGTAACACACGTGCCGGAAGATGTCGATTCCGCTCCAGCTCTCACCCCGAACCACTTCCTGCTTGGTTCATCCAACGGAACGAAACCATTAGTCACGAGTAACGACTGTCGTCTCGCCCTGAAGCAGAACTGGTGCACCTTTCAGGTTCTGGCCAATTTGTTTTGGAAGCGGTGGGTCTCCGATTATCTGCCAGAAATCACCCGCCGGTCGAAATGGTTCCAGTCTACGAAGCCTATAGCTACTGGAGATGTAGTGATCATCGTCGACCCTAAGATGCCCCGGAGTTGTTGGCCAAAAGGGCGGGTCATCAACACAACCGCCAGTCGAGATGGCCAGGTCCGGTCCGTAACCGTAAGGACAGCCTCCGGAGTCTACGAACTGGTCTTCCGAGGAATGCTTCTGCTGGAGACGTCGACTGCGGTGTGTTTCGGTTTGGGATTGAACGATACACCGAAAGGAATGTCTGCAGGTGCTCCAGTGTGGGTGATCCTTCCCCCTTGGCTAGCTTCTTGGGGCCACGCTTGAGTGAATCAACGAATCGCTCCGCTTGGCCGTTGGACTGCGGGTGGTAGGGAGCAGTGCGGAGATGGGTGATACCATTTGCACGGCAATACTGTTGAAACTGCTCGCTGGTGAATTGCGTTCCGTTGTCTGAGACCAATGTGTATGAGTTGCCGTAACGAGAAAACGTTTCACGCAGCATATTCAGGGTTGCAGTTGTGGTAATGGATTGAGTGCGAAAAATTCCGGGCCACTTTGAGAAAGCATCTACCAGAACGAAATAGTAGTATCCATGGATCGGACCAGCAAAATCGATATGGACACGTTGCCATGGCTTGTCCGGGAGAGGCCATGACTCCAAGGTTGCTTTTGTCGGGGACTTCGCTACTTCAGCACATGCAGTGCACTGACGGACAAATTGCTCCACATCGTCGTCAACGTTAGGCCAGTAGATGTAACTTCGGGCCAGAGACTTCATTCGGTCCATTCCTGGGTGTCCACGATGCAGTTGACGAACGATCTGCTTTCGAAACTTTGATGGGACGACGATTCGATCACCGAACATAACGCAGTTGTCGACAACTTGAAGTCCATCTAGTCTGGCGAAGAACTTCTTGACATCAGGATCAGCAACTTGCTTCGCATTTGCTGGCCAACCTTTGTTAAGGAAATTCACCACTTGCTGAAGAACTGGATCCTTTCGCGTCTCAGCCACAATCATCCGGTGCGTGACTGGAAGGTTGCTGATGGTGTCATCGAGAATTGCTTTTGCTTCAGATTCGACGCACACGGCGGCTATGACGTAATCCTCATCTGGTCTATGCTGCGATGACATTAGCCGGGATAGAAAATCTGCATAGCCAAAATTCGTCGATGAAACGTGTTGGATGTCGAAATCGTACAGCAGAAGTGTCAAGGCCCAGCGCTGCAAACGGTTTGCTGTGTAAACAGGAATACCTTTCTTTGAGCCGAAAACCTTGAGTAACGGTTGATGATCGGTTTGCAGGAGGAAGTGTCGTCCATACAGCATTTTGTGGAAACGGGTGACAGCGAATATCAGGGCCAATGCTTCCTTCTCCACTTGTCCGTAGTTCATCTCTGCTGGGGTCAGTGAGCGCGAGGCGTGCGCAATTGCCTTCACTTCACCGGTCGGGAATCGATGCATGATGACAGCGCCAAGGCCGTACTTCGATGCATCTGTTGAACAACGATTTCCTTGGACGGGTCGTAGTGTGTAAGCAGCAGGTCGGAAAGTAGAATGGCCTTGAGCTGCTCGAAAGACTTCTGACTTCAGCTCGCATCTTTCTTGAGGAGGCTGTCCAGAGGAGCCCTGAGTTGCTTCATATGCTTAACGAATCTACCATAGTAGTTGACAGCACCGAGGTAGGAACGGAGTTGCTGGACATCCTTCGGAGACTGCATCTTGGAAATGGCTTCTGTTTTTGAAGGGTCAGCGAATACCGTCCTTATCCACGATGTGTCCGAGAAACTTGCTCTGGGAGAGTGCGAAACGACATTTTTCGAGGCGTAGGTGAAAGCCATACTCACGGATCTGCTCGAGAACAGCGTAGAGACTGCGATCGTGTTCCTGCTTGGTGCGACCAGCGATGAGGATGTCGTCCAAATACGGCTTGACTCCAGGGATGCCGGCCACCATGCTGTCGATGATGCATGGAACAGTCCACGATGCGTGTTGACCGTGAGTAGCTTTCGCGATCCCATCCTCGTCGCCAATTGTTATATCCGTAACCAAGGCCAACAAGTAAAACAAGCTGTTGTTAAGAGCTACTATTTATTACGTCTATCTTGGTTGGTGGTCGGATAAAGAATCAATCTCTAACTTATGACAGTCAGGCAAGGCCTACTACAGAGTTAGGTGTATATCAAGACCCACAATTGAAAAGGCCTCAACTCCATTTTGTAAACAAACCTTATAAGGCCATTTTCTCGCGAACCGAAACCTACATTCGCAAACCTAAAACACAATCGGGTAGAAGAGAATTTCCCCTACCTGTTCATTTTGTTGGTTTGCGTAGGCGGACTTCGGTTCGCGAAAAAAAGGCCTTACAAGGTTTGTTTACAAAATGGAGTTGAGGCCTTTTCAATAGTTGGTCTTGATATAGTAGTTGTAGGTTAGTTGTAGTTGCAAATAGTAGTTATAAAAGTAGTCTCCTTTTTCGAATCCAAAACAAACCAGTCCCACCAAGGTGGTCATTCTCTAAAACAGGCCTGATTGGACAGTTCCTAGTAATTAATAATAATTTAAATAAAAAAAAAACTAAAGTTTAAAAGACGCATCTGTGTCACTTGATAATTCATACATGTAAAGCACACAAATACAAGAAATTAAGATCATTTAAAGTAAAGTAATTGCAAGGTTCCAATCGAATTCCCGGTTCTCCCGGTTCAGTGGCCACCCTGCAGATGTTAAAAAATCAACGGCAGAGGACGCAATTGTAAAGTTGTGAATTGTGAAATTCGCATGAATCACGTGGTCACACATTTTTCTGAGCAAAGCGAAGTTTCGGGTACGAAGACGGCCAAATTACGATTAAATCGGATTAATGATGATGATGTAAACATTAAACACCATAGCATATTATGGAAAATACACAGGGCATTCGCTGTATGTTGTGTCAAGCTGAACTGCTGGTACTTACTTGCTCCTTATCCTTAATTTTACGCCACGGAAGCTGGCCAGTAACAAACTCAACAAGCATATAGAACAACGACCACAGATCGTCCTGCCGACCCATTTCTCGATTTTTGTGCGCATTCAGCGAAGCATACCTAAAACATTAAAGAAGAAGGTCCGTTAGACTGCCATGTTGGTGATTTTCCCGCTCGATCGCAACTCTCACCTAACAGTGCCCCGGAAACCGGCGGCTGCCCGAGGACATCGAACCTCACCGGTACCGGTGGTATACTGTCTAGCTAAACCAAAATCCAACATGTAAATTTTACGATTATTGCACGGTAACCTTCCAATGGCAAAGTTGCTCTGCAAAAACAAAACAAACGTTAGCTTAAACATAAGATTCAGAACGTCTGCGAAGTGCAACACTAACTGGCTTAATATCACGATGAAGAAACCCAACCGAGTGAATCGACTCGATCGATCTGAGTATCTGGAGCCCGATCCGCAGGGTGGTACTCAGCGAGAACGCCCCGCGGGCCTGCGATCGACGCAGTTCGGCCAGATTTTTGCCCTGCAGCTGCATGACCACGTAGTTGAAACGATCGTTCCGGCCGCACCCGATGAAGCGGCAGATGTGTTCTTTACCTGAAAAAATACATGATTTCTCCGTTAAAATTGCCCGTTTGAAGTCGGTGGTGAAGCAAGACTTACCCTGCAGCTTCTTCAGGACGGCCACTTCCATCTTCAAGACCTGCTTCGGCTGGCGCGCGGACTCCACCTTAAGGGCCACCTGTTCCCGCGTGATCAGATCCTGACCCTCGTAGATCTCGCCGAATCCGCCTCCGCCGATCTTTTTCAGGACCTGTAGAAATGGATAAATGTTATGATTCATACTAAAGATCGCTCGGGGTGGGGTAAACGAACCTTCCATCGCTCCTTGACCACGTGGCCAGCCTGGAGCAAGTCTTCCATAGTTGTGTCCGTAATTTTGGGGCCGTTCAGTTTGTCCGTTTAGTCAAAAAATATATATAGAGGGGTTGATAAAAAGCTTCGCTTTTATCGGGCTCGTTGTTGTTGCTCCTCTATTGCTGATGCGGTTGGCGACAGTTGAGTCTCAGGATTCACCCGAATGGAATCGGGATCCTACCTAGTGCTCAACTACCACCGATGCTACTCCGATACGGGGTTTGGTCCGACTCACCGACTATACAAGTGGGAGAAGGAAGAACGGAACCTCCAGGGCACCAGTTGCCTATGGTGATGCTGAGGATGATAGTGACGACAACAGTAGATACGAGGAAGCGAATTTTGCTGGCGGTTTACGATGACTAGTTGATAAATAAGAAAGCTTTCCGCTGATCCAGGAGCTGCGGCCGGAAAATGTGCAGCATTTGGAGAAAAACGATATACGTTATGTATTTAACTTTAACGGGCAAGCCGGGGTTGAGATTCAGTTAATCGACAGATTTTCGATTTGCTAATGTCTTCTTGTTCTCTCTTACATTTAAACATTAAATGTCATGGTCATTTGAGTATATCACACTTTTTGTTATGGTTTATTTTGGCATTGCTTAACTATAGGTCGTTGTACGAATGACTAGATTTGGATCGGCTCCGGGTGGCTCTGTTAAGTGAAGAAACAATATAAAAAAAGAACACAAATTATAACAAAATAATACCTGAAAATAAAACTAAGAAAAACTCCATTCACACAGTAGGCCGAGTAGAAAATCGCGGCACGCTTCGACGAAACCCTGCGGTTTGTAAATTTTCACAAAAACATTTTTTCCACGCAACGTCTTCTTTGGTAGACACACATAAAAAAAAATCTCAAAACAATTCCCAACTCACATTCCAAATAGTACACACGACGCTCAGCGAGGTAAACAAACGCCTGAAGATTCGCTCAACAGTGCTCGACGCGAACCAGACGGCGAATTAATTGGACTGACGTTAAATTTTGAAACCAATCACACCCGCATCAACAAGAGTAGAGGAAAAGTAAATCCCTTTCTCTTGTCCATCCATTCTTCCGCGCCTTGATCCAAAGCAATAAACCATCGGCAGGTCAAGAAACGTTCGTCGTCGTCGGCGGCGGACGTCACAATGTTTGATCTTGGGACACTTCCGTGCCCAGCACAGCAGGGCGCAGGCGGCGGCGGCGGCGATCGGTGGGGATTGCACACGTGGTTGACAAATAGAACAAAACGCGGAACACTGGCTGCGAAAGAAGATACAATCGCAGCAACCAGTGAGTAGTTGTCTTCTACTTGGGTCTGTTAACAAATTACGTAACGCAAAAAAAAAATCCAATTTTACACTACCCCCTATAGAAAAACAGAACATATTCACCTAAGTGTTCTTCTAAAATACCCATAATATTATCCTCAGCATCTCCTTCAAATTCTTCTCAGGACATGCTTAGGACCAGGGCTATGCATTTTCGAAACAAGGAAAAGAAAATGAACTATCCACAGAATCGCTTCATTTTGAGCAATATCATTTTCGAGTAAGTCATTGTGTTTCTTGTTATCGAGTCACGATGAACATTCCTCCTTTCAAACATGACTTGACTATCGCTTCTTTCGTTCGTCAAATGCTTCAGTTCATTTCATTTGAAGCAAAGACTTGTTTCAATTAACGCAATGAATTACTCGAAAACTACTTCCTTCGTTCACTTTCACTTCAATTCGGGCTCATTCGACTTGTCATGCATCTCGTCTTCAAGCATCAAAATATAGTATCCGCAAAATATCAGTTGCCGATAGGGATGGCATCCGGATTATATGTAGTAATAATATATTATTTCATATGTTAAACGAAAATTAAATTAACGAGGCCATTCTGGAGTCCAAGATGGCGGCCATCGGGGTCAGGAAAAGTCTCAAATACCCTACAATATGGGTATTTTCGGAACGGGGACAACGCGTAGATGCCGAAAATCGGTACCAGATACCATTTTGGAATCCAAAATAGTGACAATTGGTTTTCGGAAGTGTCAAATACCCTAAGATATGGGTATTTTAGGAACGGGAACAACGAGTAGATGTCATAAATCGATATCCAACGCTATATTCGAATCCAATATGGCGGGCATCAGAAGGTGTCAAATACCCTACAATATGTGTATTTTCGGAACGGGGACGACGCGTAGATGCCAAATATCGATATTCGACGCCATTTTGGAATCCAAGATGGCGGCCATCAAGTTTTATAAAACGAGTCAAATACCCTACAATATGTGTATTTTCGGAACGGGGACAACGCGTGGATGCCGAAAATCGATATCCGACGCTATGTTGGACTCCAATTTGGCGGCCATCGGGTTTCAGAAAAAGTGACAAATACACTACAATATGGATATTCTCGGAACGGGGACAGCACGTAGTTGCCGAAAATCGGTATCAGATACAATTTTGGAATCCAATATGGCGGCCATCATGGTTCAGAAAGCGTCAAATACCCTACAATATGGGTATTTTCGGAAGGGGGACAACGCGTGGATGCCAAAAACCGATATCCGATGCCATTTTGGAATCCAATATGGCAGCCATCAGGTTTTACAAAAAGTGTCAAATAAAGGGCGAACACGAAATTATTGCGACACATTCAACAGGGCATAACTTTTTTACCATTGGGTAAAAATCAACCAAATTTTGCACACTTTCTCATTGATGTGTATTGTGTACATGCTGTCAAACTCGAAGTCGTGTTTTTCGATTCAACGAAAATGGAGGTGAACCAACGCGAGTTGAGAGAACAAATTCTTTCCCTGGAATTTCCTGATCTGTCGCACCGGCAGTTGGGAAAAATGTTGAACATTCACCATTCAACCGTCTCCAGAGTGTTGAAGCGGTTCCAGGAGCGGTTGACGTTGGACCACGGCAAAGGAGCTGGAAGAAAACCGGGACCGGAGAACAAAAAGACGGAGGGAAAGGTGAAGCGGATGATTAAAGCAAATCCCAACGTCTCAAGCCGTGATTTGGCTAAAAAGATCGGCATGTCGCAGAGCTACGTCCAGAATGCAAAGAAGAGAGCTGGACTACATACATACAAGGTACAGAACTTCCCAAACCGCGATGAGTGGCAACAATCGACGGCTAAAACTCGGGCACAGAAGCTCTACGAGAAGATGCTGACAAAATATGGCTGCTGTGTGATGGACGACGAAACCGATTTTAAGCAAATTCCGGGGTTGGAGTTTTTCACCAGCAAGAGCAAGTTTGATGTGGACGACAAATTTAAGAAGAAGAAAATGTCGAAGTTCGCCTCCAAATATCTCATTTGGCAGGCCATCTGCTCTTGCGGACTGAGGAGTTAGCCTTTCGTGACAAAGGGCACAGTAAATGGCGAGATCTACAAATCTGAGTGCCTCGAGAAGCGCCTTTTGCCGTTCTTGCAGCAGCACGACGAAGCTCCGCTATTTTGGCCAGATTTGGCATCATGCCACTATTCTAAAAGTGTCCTGGAGTGGTATGAGGCCAATTCTGTCCATTTTGTTCCAAAGGACATGAATCCGCCAAACTGTCCGGAGCTGCGCCCGGTGGACCAGTATTGGGCAATAATGAAGCGGGAACTGAGAAACTGGTACCGGATGACACTGTAAAGACTTTATTGGAGGGCATCAAGCGAAAATGCGTTCAATTTTACACTCAAGGCTCCATCGATTAACTTTTCTTTTGATTTTTGAAGTAAATATATGTATAAAACTACCCTAAAATTTTGGTTTGATTCTAAACATTATAAGAAAATTGGCATGACATTTTCGGTGTCGCAATAATTTCGTGTTCGCCCTTTACCCTAATATCAGGGTATTTTTCGGAACGGGGACGACAAATCGATATTCGATGCCATTTGACATTTCTTCTGAAAACGAAAGCCACCATCTTGAATTTCAAGATGGCGTCGGACATCAATTTCTGGCTTCTAGATGTCATCCCGATTCCAAAAAATCCACATTGCTCGGTATTTGACAGTATTTCACAGTTTCTCTGAAACAAAGCCGCCATCTTGGATTTGAAGACGGCGTGACATCAATTTTCTCTCATCATTTCATTTCAGATCTCATCCCCATTCTGAAAATAACCATATTTTAGGGTATTTGACACTTTTCCGCAAATCGAAATTGGATTTCAAAATGGCGTCGGATATCGATTTCCATCCTCTAGACATCATCCCGATTCCAAAAATACCTTTATTGATAGGTATTTGACAGTATTTCCTAGTTTTTATTAAACTGGAAGCCGCCATCTTGGATTTTTAAACAAACCACCCGACAATGATAAATTTGACAACCACATGCACCGCTCTATGCGCATACGCTAAAATGAACCGAGTGAACAATCAACAAAAGTCATGAAAACTGCGCGAACTTGGATCGAACAGCTTCGCTTCAATGCAAAAGTAAGTTCATTTGACAATGAAAGAAGAAATGAACACGAGTCAAGCCAAAACAAACAGCATGAAAACTGATCGAAAGTGGTTCTGCTCGAAGAGAAGACATAATGGCTTTCAATTGAAAGTGATGGTTTACAGCTTCATTGTCACTTGATGATTTTCGATTGAAAGTGACTTTGTGGGGCCCTGCTTAGAGCTATCCTGAGAATTTGATTCCCTAAGATTTATCCTTTGAGCTTTTGTCATAAATTAGTGGGAAAGAAGGGTGTCCACGTTGAGGAAAGTATCATTGCAAGCAGTTGATATTGTATTTGCTACGGAACGGTCAGCAGCAGTCAGAATCCGTAAAATATTTATGGCTGATTTCAGCTAGATTTTTGTTAAGGCAAAAACACAGAAAATCACTTAATTTGAACAAAACATTATAATTTTGAAAACTTGTAACTTACATGTAAATTGTTCGGAAAATCATTCTCAAATCTCGTCCATTGAGCCTCTCTGAGAGAATCAACTAGCAAGCGAATATGGCTAGCAAAACTCATGCTTGAGATGCATATTCACGTACTCAGACTCACAATGCCGAAAAGTCATTCCAGCTTAAGGTGAAAGTGGATCGGTTCAGAATGACTATCGATTTTATATAAAATAACGCTGCAATTTTTTGAATCGTATTTCTGAAAGTTCAATTTCAGGATCACAATCATAGTGGTCGCTAACTTTTCTCATCAATTAAACAAATATTTCGTATGAACGGTCATATTTGACTTCCGTAGATCGTTTCAAAATACTGTTAGGAACATTTCCTCCGAAGACAACATACCTGTAAAATGCATTATTTCAATACAAACCATTGTTTTGTAACGCAACTCGAAGCATTAGATTTCGATTTCCTAAGCAACCAACTGACTTTTGCATGTATCTGTACGTAAGCAGTCTCCAGGTGGAAGAACAATGTGATTTGGAACACTAGCACAAAACAGAGAAGCGAAAAAAAGCCACACTACAGGGCGATCCACAAATGAATTAGCAAAGAAAAATTATCAGCACCGAGAGCATGATCAAGCTCGAGCGTGACGTTTTTCGTTCGCAATAATTGATGAAGATTGTAAGATACCTTTTATCGATAATTGAAAACGGATGATATTCGGCAATGTCATCTATGCGTTATCGCAAGAACTCCATTATGAAAGTGCTTGAAAATATTTCTAAATTGAGCGTATTTCCATA